ACATATTGCAGTCTTCTGCATTATCAGCGTTGCATAATAACAGTTATCAAACAATATATTGTTCAGCCCCAGCTTAGCCACAGCAGATGTAGGTCCATTCAATCACTCATGCAAACTTCCAGTAATGATTAAAAATCAAGTAAAAACGTGTGCGGCTAGACAGACTGGAGGGAAAAAATCCTTGTATGAAGGAGAAGCTACCTGGAGCAGGTGTTGAGGAAGATGTGATTTATAACAGTACACTACCGGCCTGCCTTAACATCTCGCAGATCAAATATGACCCTTTTCATTACGGCATGTTTATGCAGGCTATCGCTAAACCATACTGACATTCTTCCCATCCTGTGCGTGCGCCTATGCGCAAGCCTCACAAGAGCACCAATTAGCATAATCCTGCATTTAATTAGCAGTAGCTAGGACCAGACGTCAATGATGGCTGTGTGCCTCCGCATACACACAATACCAACAGATTAGTAGGGACACGTTTGCCCTGGATATTTAATTCACATTCTATTAGGCAACTGTTCTTTCCATTGGACTCTTCACAAACTCACAAAGCCCTGCCTGAAACAGATCCTTAAATGAGGTTTTTTGTAGACATGTAGACACACACATTTTATGTGTATATATATATATATATATATATATATATATATATATATATATATATATATATACAATTCTGCAAGAGACCACTCCCATCAGGAGAGAACTAGAGTAACTTTGTATTGATTTGCTGTGTCCCTTCCCTGGGAACAATTGGCGAAATCATGCCAGCAAAATGCCCCCCACAGTATAACAGCGCCACTGGACCCTTCACTGTAGAGGTAAAGCATTCAGGGTTATACCATGTACGCCACACATGCACTCGCCCACTTGTGGAAAACATGGTGAAGGATGATTCATCTGGCCATATCACATTTTTCCACATCTCTGTAGACAAGTGCCTATGGGTTTTACACCACTGAACTCCCAAATGGGCATTTGTCTTTGTAATGAGAGGTTTATGCACTGCAAGCCTGCTATTATATCCATCTCTATGTAGTTGTGGACAGACTGTTCTAGCATGTTCAGTCACTTGAGCAACAGTTGCTCTTCTGCTTTTCTTTACATATCGCATAATGCATGAGCATCACACTCATTGAATGTGCACTTTCACACAATTTTCAACCTTATTTGCTAATATCTCCATTTAGGTGTATAGAAAAGACATCCCTTTAGTCCCGGTTCCTATAGAAAAACTAGTCATTTGAGCAGTCTTACTGAGGCTCCTGCCTTCTGTGCCCCCATAACAAACCCTCTTCCAAAGTTACTTCTATGTTTTTTCTCTTGCCATCTTGATCCAAATTGTTTCATGTAGTATGCCTGTCTTAAAGCATCTGTCGGTGTTTTATGTTTCTCCATTCTTTTATTTAGGTATTTCCTTTAATTTGTCACTTGTCTGTAGGTGCACTTTGGTGTTCTGCAATTACTAAGCTTGAATTTGAATTAATATAATCACTACTGTGGAATCTTGAAGGATATCTGTTATTCTTTTTCTGTAGCATATCACAATAACACTGTAGATACTAGAACAGACTCTATTAAATTTATCCCTGAACCTAAACATAACCCTGTCCTTAATGTCAACCCAAAACTTAAATCTAACCCTAAACCTAATCTTAATCTTAAAACATCTGATGTTTAATGGAGTTTCAGCAGAGTTTCACAGCCACAGGAGAAAAAACGAGATGTGAATTCAAATGGGGCTAAATCATTCAAATGAACAAGTCCGGCATTCCTCTTCAAATTTAATCTCTTGAACATTAATTTGTATTTGAGAAACTTAGCAAGCTAGCAAAGTAAAGCCTACATCTTAAAGTTAACACTGTTACGGGGTCTTGTTTGGTTGAAGGACTTTATGAGTGGTGGTACAGGGGGGACTTTCTGCTGAATTCAAAATGGAATCTAATTGGAAGCAATGGGAGCCTCAGATCTAAGATACCAAGATACCACTCTATTCAGTTCCAAATATAAAGTTTTCTGTTACAAAAAGCCTTTGTGGAACTGACCTCTAGTAAAGGAAAAATTATTGTACAATTACTGACTGCAATCCATCTGTTACTGAAATTTGTTAATCTCACCACCCCTCACCCCCCAGAGAAAGGAAAGAGACTACCATAGGATCACTGACCAGATATTATTTAGGTGGTGGACCATTCTGAGCACACCAGTTATGGTGATACGGTAATGCGTGTTGTACTGATTCAAGTGTATTGAGAATTTAAGGCTTGTGATATTCTGTATATTTACCATAAGTTTTTTTCTTTCATTGGAGAGCAGCGATTTCTTTCCATGAACATCTTTCTTGGTCACTTATGTTGGTGTCATGAACTGCAGATTCTTATGAGCCACTCTAGGGTTCTTTGGTCCTTTATATCAGGATGCTATGGAGTGCTTTTGTACTCTTTGTAGGACACCCACGCCTAGCAAAGTTGAGGAACTTTTCACCTGAATTCCATGAAAACACTTTAAAAAAACAAAAAAACAAAAAAAACAAGTAACCAAAACTACATACATTCAAGTGAAAAGTCAATTACTTTTTGAATTCCAGTGTGGAACCACTAAAACAACACTGTAGCTCAAACGTCTTCAGATTCGGACCTTGAATTCTGTTTCTGTTCCTAGATTTTTTAATCACAATGATTCAAATACCAGTGATTACAAAACTGGATTCAAGACTTCCGGATTTGAATACCTTCTCCTGAGGCCCTCTGGAAGTCTAGACACTTCACTGCCAATGAATACCAGCGGTAGCTTAACCATTAGGTTTCTGTGAATTGTAGAAATCAAAAACAGCAGCAGCAGTTCTATGCAAGGGTCCATTACCTGTCCATTACCTCAGAAAATCCTAAGGCTAAATCTCAAACGGCTCACTGCTCTCTATATAGTACACTATATAGCACACCATTTTTGCAAATGAACTCTTTAAATAAAATACATAGAATGTCATTTACAAGCTTCAAATGTCTGTGCTTATTTTAGAGCTACCACAAAATGTTCATGTGCACCAGCATTAGCCTAATGCTAAAATAGTATTACAAATTCCACCCCAGGGTAGCCAGTAGAAAGTTGCATTAGTGTAGTACTTCATTATTTATTTATTTTTATAGTTTTTGGGAAAAAAAATTCCTTTACACTGTGGAGTGATGAATCACACTTCTCCATCTGGCAGTCTGATGGATGAGTCTGGGTTTGGCAAATGCCAGGAGAACGTTACCTGCCTGACTGCACTGTGCCAAGTGTAAAGTTTGGTGAAGGAGGAATAATGCTGGTGGTTTTTCAGGGACTGGCCTCAGCCCCTTGGCTCCAGTGAAGGGAAATCTTAATGCTTCAGCATACCAAGACATTTTGGACAATTCTGTGCTTCCAAATTTGTGGGAACAGCTTGGGAAAGGCCCTTGTCTGTTCCAGCATGACTGCGCCCCAGTGCACAAAGCAAGGTCCATAAAGACATGGCCAGGTGAGTTTGGTGTGAAAGAACTTGACTAGCCTGCATTGAGCACTGACCACAACCCCATCAACGTCTGACCTCACAAATGCTCTTCTGAGTGAATGGGCAAAAATCACCAGACACACACCAAAATCTTGTAGAAAGCTTCCCAGGAGAATGGAAGCTGTTATGGCTGCAAAGAGGGGACCAACTCCATATTATTGCTTAGGGATTTAGAATGGGATGTCATAAAAGCTCCTGTGGGTGTAATGTGTAGGTGTCCCAATAGTTTGTCCCCATTGTAAATATACAAAGGTGCCGTGGGTAGTGCCGTCACCTCGCAGCAAGAAAGGCTTGGGTTAATTCCCTGGCTGGGTGAGCAGGGTCCTTTCTGTGTGGAATTTGCATGTTCTTCCAATGTCTTCTTCTTTAGAATTTGTCTAAGGAGCATGTTTGAGAGTTTCTTTCTAAGATAGTATTTTTTCATTATTTATTTTGTAAGTATGTCTTCCAAAAATATTCTCCTAAAATATAAAAAACTACTGTATTCTGAATTCTGCCTTTACAAATGTAACTTGGACTTAATACAGAGTTTTTGTAGTAAGAATACATATTCGCAATACTTGTATTCCATTACATCCCAACCCTGGCAATGGGACATGGTCAGAATCTGCCAAGAAGAGGATGCATGTCCACATTAACCCCACACACAGTGAGGAGGATGGTTCAGGTTGCCAAGACACACATTGTTTGGGAGAGTAGCTAGAGGAAATTCAAGGACCTACAGTTTGCCAGACCTTACTGGAAACTTTAGTGGAACCGTGTGCTATGCTTTATACCGTTTTTGACAATAAATACCAGAGGTGGGTTGGCACAAACACAAAGATGGTCATGCAGAAAAGTGCCTCATTCTGAACCACTGTGAAGTATGGTGGTGGATCTGTGATGTTATAGAGCTGTTGTTATTCCAAAGGCCCTGTACAACTTGTTCGAATGACGGATTCCAAGTACTGGGCTGTGGTTGGATCTTCCCAGAGGGAAAATTATCAAAAGCACACCCCCGAAGCAACACAAAAATGGTTCATCGACCACAGAATCAAGGTTTTGCCATGTCCCGTGATCTAAACCCTATAGAAAACCTGTGGGAAACTAAAGGATCTGGAAAGATTCTGTGTGGAGGAATGGTCTCAGGTGCCTTGTCATGTTCCCCAGTGTCAGTAGTCATTATAGGAGATGACTCAGAGCTGTTTTTTTTTTTTTGCAAAGAGAGCGTGCACAAGGTATTAAAAGAAGGGTTGCCAACAGTTATGGCACACAGAGAGAAAAATATTTATTTCAAGATAAGAAGGTTTTTCTTTTAATCATTGTGCTTAAAGTAAGGGTAAGATTTTTGTTTAGCATTAGATTGGTGTAATGTAGAATTCTTTAAATATTTACAGTTGCCTTCTGAGGAAATTAAAATGCTAGATTTCCAAAATGTGTTTCAAAACACACTCACATGCACACACATACTCACAATATAAACTGCTAAGAATGGCAACTTAGTATTTTAATGACCAAAATTTCAGACACGTGCCATAACATCAAGTGAGTAATAACATTAATTACAAATGATCTGTTTGGTTAACATGTTATTAGATGTAAGTTGTATACATTTACATTATAGAGAACATTCATGTATTTACAAACAGTTGTTTGAATAATTATGCTTCAACACTAGATGCATCATTAACCTTTCTTCACTTTCCAGAAAGCTTTGAGGCTGGTGCTCAGTTGTTCATTTGGCAAATATCCACAATCCGAACATGTCATGTTTTTATATTTTTTTTGGGGAACCCCCCCCCCCGCCTAAAATATAAACATTAAACTAATTTCATACTAGCTTAAAAATAACTGAGAGTGGCACGCACTTTTAGTCGTGCTGTAATCAGGAATATCTAGTATTTAAGCAATTATTTATACTGCTATACTAACTAATTTATTATTTCATCTAGTGATTGTCCTCAAAATGAAAACCTTACATCTACTTAATACTTTAGGTGCAGCCCTTTAGAGCGACTACTCATGCTAATGTTCAATAGGGGCAAAAGGTTCTAAAATAGTTGTACGGACAACATGACTCCATAAAAGTCTTCATGGCAACGTCTGAGAACAAACGCATTTCTTAACCAAGAGACGACCATAAGGAGATGAGACTTGTTCCCACACAGAAACACACGTCCACATACATACACACTATATAGTCTCCCCTGAGGCTATCTTGTGCATGACTATCATAATTTCATTAATTAAGGCTGAGAATTTAAACATCAACCATATTTAAAACAACTACTAACCACAGTACAAAAGGGTATTTTATAGTGCATAATAACAATAACCAAAACAGTCTTTTTTTGTAGGAACAAATACAAGAGACATACTGATAACACTACTATGATCAAACTGTAAATGAGGAGCAAACAAAACAAAACAAAACAAAGTGGCTGCATGTTAGCTACTGGGTGGATAATATAAACTTATAATATAAGATTTATTTTCAAACAACTACACAGTGAAGCATTTCAAATATTATTTCAAGAAAGTAGTAGCTCTGTATGTTTCATAGTTTAAGTGCAAATTAATGTTTTGATAAGTAATAGATAAAAATTCATCAGAATATGTACTGGAGTATTCAGGTACTTAAGTGCACATATGACAGTTATCAGTTTTGTAAATCATACGAGCAGCACTATCTACCAAACAGGAATTCAACAGTTTTATTATAATGAGCATTCTAGAAATAGAAAAATAATCTAATTTATAGTATTTGCCTTACATAGGTGCATCTACATGAACTTTCTAGACACGCTTTGAAAATTATTTTTACTAATGTCATATTACAAACAGAAACATATGGCCTGGGAGGCTTTTATAATGTTACAGTGAGCTGTGCTACATTTCAGTTAAAAAGTGAAACCCTTTGGATAAGAAAAAACAAATTAGGAAGCACTTTGAAATATGCACTTAAATGTTTTGATAGTGCACACGCACACATTCACTCACACAGATGGCCTCAGTGGGCCAAAAATGCTACACTAACATTTTGATTCTTCAACATCCTAATGATCACAATGTTAAGCATTGAATAACAGATAAAATTGCTCTATAGCTGAAGTCATAAATTTGCATATACTTAAGTTAAAGTCATTAAAACTCAAACAATTTAACAACAGATTATTTCACTTATAGTTCACTACATGAAAATTCCAGTGGGTCAAAGGTTTACATACACCAAGTTGACTGAGCCTTTAAATAGCTTGTAAAATTCCAGAAAATGACGTCATGCTTTTAGTAGCTTCTGATAAGCTAACTGACATAATTTTAAGTTAGTCTGAGAGGTACCTGTGGCAGTATTTTAAGGCCTACCTTCAAGGCCTTTTTGTCTCTTTGCTTGACATCATGGGAAAAAAAAGAGATCAGCCAAGACATCAAAAAAGAATTGTGGACCTCCACAAGTGTGGTACATCCTTGGGAGCAATTTCCAAACCCTTGAAGGTACCACGTTCATCTGTCGGAACGATGAAATGCAAGTTTAAACACCATGGGACCACACAACCATCATACTGTTCAAGAAGGAGACGTGTTCTATCTCCTACAAATGAATGTACTTTGGTGAGAAAAATACATATTAATCAAAGAACAGCAAACAACCTTGTAAAGATGCTGGAGGAAACAGGTACAAAAGTAACTATAACAACAGTAAAACGTGTCATGTATTGACATGACCTGAAAGGCCACTCAGCAAGGAAGGAACCATTGCTCTAAAACCACCATAAACAAAGACAAAGATCGTACTATTTGGAGAAAGGTCCTCTGGGCTGATGAAACAAAAATATTTGGCCATACTGACCATCATTATGTGTGGAGGAAAAAGGCAGAAGTTTGCAAGCCAAAGAACACTATTCCAACTGTGAAGCATGGGGGTGGCAGCATCATTTTGTGGGGGTGCTTTGCTGCAGGAGGGACTGGTGCACTTTACAAAATAGTTGGCATTATGAGGAAAGACAATTATGTGGAGATATTGAAACAACATCTCCAGACATCAGCAAGAAAGTTAAAGCTTGTGCGCAAATGGGTCTTCCAAATAGACAAAGAACCTAGGCATACTTCCAAAGTTGTGGCAAAATGGCTTAAGGACAATAAAGTGAAGGAAACAGAGTGGCCGTCACAAAGCCCTGAACTCAATCCCTTAGAAATTTTATGGGAAGAACTGAAAAAACATGTGCGAGCAAGGAGGCCTACAAACCTGATCAGTTACACCAGTTTTGTCAAGAGGAATGAGTAACTATTCCAGCAACTTATTGTTAGCAGCTTGTGGAAGGGTACCTGAAACATTTAACTCAAAACAATTGAAAGGCAATGCTACCAAATACTAACCACATGTATGTAAACTTCTGAGCCACTGATAATGTGATCAAAGAAATAAAAGCTGAAAAAAAATCACTGTCTCTAGTACTCATCTGACACTGCACATATTAGTGACACTAACTAACATAAGAGAGGGAATGTGTACTAGGATTAAATCCAGGAATTGTAAAAAACATTTGAGTTTAAATAAATGGGGCTAAGGTGTATGTTAACTTATGACTTCAACTGTATATGTAGATATAGCTACTATAAAAGGCAGCGATACACAAGCTAGTAAGTCACAACATCTGTGACTTGAAACATTTGTCATCTTAAATACAATTTTCATCTTACTGAATCAGAATAATTTGTAACTGTTCAAAAACAAAGAAAACAAAAAGAAATGTTACCAAGCAATTCTTCTTAGTTCAATTTCTTGACTTCTCCTTCTCTGTAACCTTGTGAGTCAGAGTGACCTAAACATTTTCATCAAAGCTCTAATTATAAAAAATATTAATATTATAGACTTTATCTATTATATAAACATATGTACGCTCAGAGGGACAGGTTATGTTAGCAATACTGTAAGAATGAATTTAAAATAGCCTTTAAAGTTTAATGATGCATTGAATACTGACTGTGTTATTTCATGACTCAATGGGATGCAATGAATGTAATAATGGTGAGAAGGTGCATTGTGATGCATTTTCAAGTAAAAATACTATCCCAGACCAAAACACTCATGGTTGATACAGGCTTTGTAAGTGCATGTGTGTCATGTTCATGTCAGCTAGGCTATAGTTCAGTCTCAGTCAAAGAGGAGAGCAGAACAGACATCCATTCTTTTTTTTTCATTTTTCCATAGCAACTGTTGGATGGTTGGCCAAGCTTTACAACACATTGGCAAAAAAACAGTTCAACCTAAAGAGAAATTGTACTGCACTTAATTTAGTGTTGTAACAAAATGTTGAGTTTACAGTTTAAAATGCTACAATGAATTGGTCTGTAATGTAGCTAAACGAAACTAGGCAGGTTGAAAACAACACTGACAAATTTGCCACCACACTAACACCACCTACAGGTGTTTGGCTCGATCAACAAGGAACTAAACCTATGCTTACAGCGTGATCTTTCAGAGGCATTCAAAATAAAAAAAAATAATTTGAAATGAATATTGCACATTTACATATTTCGACAGTTCCTTAGTGTAGTATTTTAAACTGGAAACTGAACATTGTGTGTGAACCTAAATAAAGCGCGCTACAATTTCCCACCAGGTTGAATGAGATTTTTGCTAACGTTCTGTAAAACTTGTCCAACCTAGCAACAGTAGCTACACTGTATATAAAGTAGCACAGTGAAATGAGAGAGTGATAAAAGGAGAAAACTGGATGTAGAAGGGTGAAGAAGCAACAGATGCTAAACAGAGAAAACACATTACACACATTTCAGTAGAAGGGAATCTTGTGAAAGAAAGGAGGCTTAGAAAGAAAGAAAAAGAAAAGAGGGCAGATGAGAAGCTGAAGGGACATGTGGTTCTTCCAATTGTTCCCTTGATAATGACACAAAAAAGTTTCACCCAGTCCCAGGGGACAAGATGACACATGAGAGCACACACAGCCATTTGAGTGCTACACATATGTGACAAAGCCTTTGATTACTGTTGCTCTTTAAACACTGTGGCAACAGTGAAACTTGGGTTATGTTTTATGATACAAATTATTATATAGCCTTATACAATTTAATAGTAAAGAATGGCTGCTATTAATTTTTTAAAACAATCTTTCGGGAGGATAACAATGAAGCTACATCTAAACTGGCTAAATCTGGGAAATAAAAAAAGAAGGAATTAAAAGAAGTCAGAAACTCAGAGATTTCTACTGTGTATAACCTCTTAGTGTATATATACTTTTAAGTGCTTTTACAGAGGAAAATGAAGCAGTGATTATATTACAACTACCCTGCCTTAGTCATTGTCATTCAGACCATTTGTTTGTGGTGAGGTTGTGTGTGTGGAAGCTACATGGCCATATGCAGGTCTCTGAATTTCCTGAAGTGTGTAGTATGTAAGTTATCTTTACTTAAACTGCGTATGTGGGGTTTGCATCCGTATACGTGTTTATAATCGTGTCTGGGCTTCTGGTATATAGATTTCGATGCTGTCTGTACACTCTGTGGCAGAGCTCTGGCGTAGTGTAGCAGCAGCACGTTTAGCTGCTTGCAGTCGTTTTCGCGCCTCTAGTCTTTGTGAGCCCTCCAAAGAGCGATCCCTCACCAGCAGTGCTGCACCTTTTCCTGGCTTCTTCGGCACTGGTGGAGGTACTCGCCTCTCCTGGACAGCAATGATAAACCAGTTAGTCCCGCTGCTAAATACAACAACTAGCGCATGCATGCATGAAATGGAGAGAATGGCATTTAGCTGCCATGTTTGTTGCATCACTGTTGAATGAAGTCACACTGCATGTGAGGGACTCAAAATAAATACAATTTTGAAAAAAAAAGTACAGGGGAAGAGTGCAACCCATTGGCCAATGCTGCATAAAGGAAGCAGGGCCCTTCGCTAGCGAACAACATACTGCGTGCAGTGAGGGAGCGGCATCTCAAAACCAGATCACTGTCAACAACAAAACAAATAAACAAAAATAAAATAACGTTAGACAGGAAACAAGAAAGTGACATACATGCAACACTCATGTTTGAGACACGGTCATCAATCATGCAGCAACAAAGAACAAAGAACACCAAGAAACTGTTTTATAATGTTTTATAATGACTCATAAGAATATCTAAGCATTTTGGTAGATTAAAATCTGTATTTTACCTTTTGCTTAGATGGTTCCAAGCATTTCCAGTTGTTGGCTTTGAGCTGGTGCAGTTCATCAAATTTCAAACTGATGTTTTCAATAGACAACTGCAACATATCCCAGAATCCTGCAAGGTCCTGTGACACAGGTCGTGGGTGGGCATTGGGGTTCTAAAGGGAGGAGACAAATGATAATACACATTTCAGTTCTTAAATAAATGTAAAAAATACTTAAGAAATTATCTTCTATTTCAGCTGTTGTACAGAATTTAACTGATTTGAAGTGCAATATTGGGACATTATTGTATGACATCAAGGCAGTGAAACCTGTCATCCAGGTATATACCATTCCGGGAATCAGCTATACTAATCCAGATTTCATTCCGATCCTTTGATATGTTTTTTTGTGCTCTATTTATGCAACGGTGGGACACGTTTTCAGAAGTTAACAAGCAGTGTGCCACCAGAAGCGTGTCATCAGTGCTCTGTTACTGTGCTCTGGCAGTTACACAAGAACATTTTTTTTACAAATGTAGCTTGACAAGGCCAGTAAGCAGAATGTCTCTACACTGCTTTTGGATTTTTCACCTATCGCAACTTGCAAGTAAAAAACATTTCCTGTTTAAAACTGGCATTAGCAGTAACAGCACTCTCAAGCTATTTGAAATGATAGCGTATTCATGACATTTTAAAATGTCTTTTTCACATAAGTAGCCCAAAACGCAAAATATATTAATTCAGAGTGCACACCACTAAGCATATATCAAAAATGATTTTACAGCAGTAACTGGTAAGCAAAATCTTTAGAGCTGTCAATCAAATACGATCACAAGTCGATATTAAATAGACTATTTTAAAAATTGTACACACTAAAATTAATTATTTTGCAGTAGCATTTTAAAGTTATGTGCAGCCTAGCATGTCTAATCTAAACTGGATCGGTTTTACTAAATTTACATTTTCCTTTAAGTGTGCAACGTGCATCCACAAAACATTACGAACATCTGGTCAGACTTGGTACCTGCAATTACATTGTAAAGGACTCAGATCTGATTGGGGCAAAGAACTGGATGGGGGCATTACTACTATTACCCCAGTCCTTCAGTTTTATATGTTACAATCCATTGAGGGCAGGGTTTCCGAGGCGTACTGGACTGTAATTGGCTGGTTTGTTGTGCACATACCAGGTTCTCCTCGCATAGCTCCCGGAACTGCTGGAACTTCTGCGACATCAGCAGCTGAGCACTACCTACTGCACTCCGAATCTTTTCCAGTACTACAAAGACACACAGAGAAGAGTGGGTAATCTATAGACAATAACACATGCACAGCAACCTGCTTGTACTTTGGTGTTGGGTCATGAAAAAAATATATTTGTGCTATAGCCTGCAAAACGATCTCCCAATAAAGAGTGCACACCTTCACACCTTATGTATATGTCTATGTATGTTTGAACTTCAAAATCACACTTTTAAGACTTTACTGCCGTGCCTTTGAAGTGAGGCGTCATAAATATCATAGGGGTGGGAACGTAAATGTAGTTGCACTAGAAAAAAGAGTGAATGTTTATTCTGCACACCAAACAAACATCTAGCGAGACCCAATGAGCTGAGAAACACAAATGGGTGATGTGCAGGGTCAGAGAGACAGAGTAAAGACTAAAACACAAACAGAATATCAGATTACTAATAAGGGTGAAAGATGCAGAAAGAGCCAAAGTCTGGCACTGTCCAGGTCTTTTGCTGAGGTTTGTTCTTGGTTTATATTTGGTTATGGCTTTTGGAAGTGCTGATTCTTAATTAGAATTGTTTTGCTATACTGTTTAAATGTAATTCTATAATTACAAGTCAAAGTTGATAACTTAATAACTGCACTAATGTTTTTAATGCCGTTAACGCATTTTCCTAGTGTGACCCTTTGAACCATCCATAGTAGTTCCACCATGAAGTCCAGCTGAACAGAGGCTGTTACGTTTTTTTTGTTCATGTGCTGTGGCTATGACTCTGTGGCTGTAGTCCCCTCGTTCAAATACAGCCTTTAAATGCTCTCACTAGACATCAGTGATGGTAAATAGAAAGTGTATTCGGAGAAGGACTTTCACCAAAAGCAATGTAGAGCTGTAGACTTACCTTTACAGGTGACAGCATTAGGTTTTGCGTTGGACGAATAATGGAGGCTGCCACTTTAGATAAGCTAATGAACTTTTACACAAGGCGTTTTCTCCTCAGTGGATGACGTGCCAACATGTTTCTATTTTATTTCTCTCTGAAAAATAACATCAGCTACAGTAGTTCTGATTAGTGATACAGCTGCATGATGTCTGCCTTAGCCATGTCCTTAACAATGCGCCCTTGGCAACGCACTCACGTTTAGGCACTCAAAGTATAGCATAATTCACTTACGCACAAATATGAGCAAAACCGTTTTGTTTCACTGAATTGTTGATTTGAATATTTTTCTCTGTCTTCCAGCGATGAAATGTAATAAATACCTGTATAGTGATTTCAGTACCTCAAATGGTTAACCAAGTATTCGAGTACCTGTGCACAGCCTTACTGTGTTTTTGCGAGTTTCTTTTAGGGTCAAATTTGGGCAAGTAAGGATTAATTATGATTAATTATTATTATTATTATTATTATTATTGTGATTAAAATAATTAATCATTTGACAACCCTAAAATATACATTTTTTGTTTCTTGTCATTAAAATCTCTTGTGGTAATGCTTCGGATGTTTGTTACATCATAGGTTGGAGTCTGCACTTCTGACTGTTTTATTTTTCTGATTTGTTTTAATGTCAAGGCATGAGAATAGACAACAAGTGTCAAACATGTAAATGATGGTTTCTCTTTCCACAAAGCTCAACATGCACAACAATATTTTGTAAATCATGAGAGTAGAGCTAGGGAGTGATGGAAAAAAGAGAAAATAAAAGAAACGACAGACAGAGGGGCTTCCTGGTGGTAAAAATGTCTGGTATGTGTGTGAGAGACGGCAAGGATATGAACAAGCAGGCTTTGTAATCAGCCACTGTGAACACAGGCACTCCCGGGCAGTCTGTGTGTGTGTTTGAGAGTGTGCGAGCCTGTTAGAGGTGGGAAAAAGGAGGGGAATAGAGAGGGAAAGGACAGAAGGAGTCGCCGTGCTAGAAATAAACAGTACTGGTGCAGAGCAAGCTTGGCCTGGTGTACAGTCAGTCTTGTAGTGAGAAGAGATTAGGCTCCAAACAGTCACAGTGTTCATGAGGGCTGCTCAGAGGATACAGCCTCTTGGCACTGAATCAACAGTAATAATAGCATTTCCATTCCATTGCTCAGTCCAACACAACCATTACTGTGCAGATTTTTCATCTAGTCTGCATTTTATAATATGATCCAATAGGCCTGGTGTGATACAATAATTTCACTATCATCTTGACTGATCTTATTTTTGTTGTACCTTCTTTAATATGGCAATTCAGCTGAGACACACAGTTGTATATGCCGTTTTGAATGCTCTCTTAAAGTTACAGTTCGGGCAAAAATTTTAATACAAATCTGTGAAACTGTCCCCTTATTTTAAATGTAATGAGGCAAGACATGTTTGGGTGTGAAATTAGATGCTTTAGTTTTGCAGTGGAGCTTCAAGGCTAATGTAGCTAACAAGTAATAGAATGTGCACTGATTACTATTAGGGATGTGCATCCCGACTAATTTTGATATTTGAGTACCCATAAGTGTTAATGAACGAATAATTGGTTAACTGCGGGGAGGGAAAAAAAGCTCACTTCGACTGAAATGTAGGCCTGTAGCCTTACCTTTATAGGCTTTAGCACTGGTGTTGCACAAAAACATTAGCAACACACTGAGGAAAACCCTTGAAAACATGTTTCATTCGAAAATAGCAGAAGGAAATACGTAGACTTTCCTGTGGCAGGATTAACAGAGGCTGCCTCAGATGAGCTAAAGGGATGACATATCTAACTGGTACAACACTGGATGCTGAAAAAGACTTGTCTTCTTACAGGTAGTCTTTTCTTTTCAATGGATGGCAAGACATTACCTATCAGAGAATTTTTTTTTACTGTTTAAGTTCCTAGCTAACAGCAGCTAGAATAACTTATTTAGCGATGATAGTGATAAAGCACTTCTCACGTCACGACCATAACAATGCATCTGTGGTAGCATGCTTAAGTTAAAATCCTCCTGATTAAGAATAGCAAAGTTTAGTTATAATATGAATACTTCCTCGCAAGTACAAGTAAATTCACCACATTTTACAGTTCTGTTAAAACATAAAATCAGTTTCACTGAATGGATAACTGAGCTCTCAAAAGCCTGTGAACATCCCTAAATACAAAAAAAACAAAAAAAAAATTTTGCAAACTGCATGTCTAAATCAACACACACTTGCCTCAAACCAAACTGAATTTAAAGTGGTCTCAAAGCGGCTTGCTCATGTTATTTCTGACACTGTATGACATACTGTTATCTATAAATATGGAAAAAAAAGCACATCAAACCCTACAAACTATCAGTAAATATCTTGAAGCCTGAATTTTATCAATATTTTTGTCCATTTGTATTGAGATAAGTACATCATAGTGTCACAAACAAAATAAGCAAGTGTGTTTGAGATTGCTTAAAACTTGACATAGCTTGAAGCAAATGTCTGCATGATGTCACACAGACTGCATGATGCTATCTGGTGAAGTATAAGCTTTCATTACATGTTATCTACTCTAGCCTTGTAAATTGCGTAAATTAGATTTTGGCTGAACTATTGCTTTAACTATCATCACCAATGTGACTCACTCTCATCTGGCAGCTCATTTTCATGCTCATCACGTTCCATCTGCTGGCACCATCCCTCCATCCTCTCCACTTCGGCCTGCAGTAGCTTGAGGAACCAGCGTCCATTGCGTGGACACACAGAGCCAGCCCCACCTCCGCTGCTCTCCTCATCCACACCTGCGTCCATCCATGGGTCTGGTGGGGGCAAGATGGATGGGTCAAAGCCCACCTCCGCATAGTCGTCCTGGGCACAGGCATGATAGTGGTTCCCTGAGCCCTGGATACTGACGGTGGAAGTGGCTGCGTCCCTGGACGACTGCCGTACGGTGGAGCCGTGGCTGGAGAGCTGGCCTGGGGTGTAATCGGCTAGGTCACTCCTTAAACCCTCTGCAAGGTCCAGGTCAGCTTGCACGGCTGTGGTGACACTGTTGGAGCGGGTGACTCTGCGATAGCTAAGAAGAGAAAGAGAACATTGCGTGTGGTGTAAAAAAGTAAAACAATAATACACAACATGTATTGCACTATTTTGTTTTTCTGAGGTATGTGCACATATTTTTTAAAAAGTAACAACATATTTTTAAAATAAGGCTATGGAAAATGTTCAACACTTACAAAAAATATTTAAAAAGTAAGAGGATCCCGAACGACAACTATTACAAATAGTCATATTGCCCATCTCTAACACACTGGCCATCTTTGCTGTTCATACCAATATGCTCTACAACGACAGTTCATGACCTTGTAGTATTACAAATACATATACAAATGAAAATAGCTCTTTCAAGCAGAACAGCGCATTAAAGCAATCTGGCAGAGCTTTATTTGACTGTTTTTCTGTTACTTTACTTGCTGTGTGTAAGTGTGTGTATTAGATCAGTGGGACACCTGCTCTATTCAGGGGTGTTGGAGCACACTGTCATCTGTCACCACGTCCCTGAATGTGCTGGCTGTGTGGAAACAAATTGCTCACGCATTTATTTTTCTGCATCAGTACATTAGAGGCCCTTAATGGTGCTCTTAGTAAATTAAGCCCTAAGGTTATTTTTTCTTGCAGAGCAAGTTTGTCAAATGTGTGTCAGTGTGTATGTGATAGAGAAAGTGTGAGTGTTTGTGTGTGTATGTGTAGTAGGGGGAGGGCTGCCAGCAGGCCTGCTTCACATCAACTCAAGCAGCTAACTACTTCCTGTAAATGAGGCCAAAGATGAGAAAGAGAAGAGAAAGACAGAGAGAAAAAAGAAATTATAAGTGAAAAAAGGGAAAGAATGAAACTGAATGAACATCACTATTTACTGGTTGTACACATTACAATGTCATAACAGTGTATAAAATTTAGGGCTGTGAAACGATCCATATAAATAATTGCAATAAATCGCATTTGTCTTATTCGCTGAAATTTCAACCTAATGAAAGATTTTTTTTTCTATTTAAAAAGCAGTGTTTTAGCTATACGAATGGACAACTAGAATGCATTTATTAAATTCTATAATTCAGTAAAGCTATTGTGTTATATGAAAATAGGGTAAACACAGTTTCCAGTTTTATTACCAATGTCCAGTGAAAGTAATGATGGCTGCATATTACAACTCCTCCATGATTGCAGCCCTCTTGCTTGTTTAAAGTGAAACTGCAGCTTTCCACTCTGCTGTTACTTTGTTAATTAGCTGTTTTTTGGGTTATAGATAGATAGATAGATCACTTAATTAATCCCAGAGGGAAATTCTTCAAAGAGGAAGAATTTTATCCATAGTTGTCCTATGAGCACTGATGATAATATTACTGATGTTCATGGTACTGCTGACATCAGTGGTGTGTTGTGCTTGTAAATGATGCATCAGACATCAATTGCAGACTCACAGCAATAGCATGTGAGCAGCTGGGCTTCAAACTGGAGCTACAGATGGTTCAAACTAGGAAACTAGGAAAATGTTGGTGGTGTTGACCATTTATTATGCTAGCACATTATTAACATGTTAACTTTGGCACCACCAATGAAAATAACAAAATGCGTCTTCCACATATTTTTATTCATATGATTAGACACCAAACCTCAGCAATAAAAATAAGCAAAGGTGAGACACATGCGTGTCCCCAAAGCCCCATCTGAGATGTCAAAGATTCCACGGTACAACACGATTCTTCCATATAATTACATTTCACAAATAGCAGTAGTCTCTTCGGCATTTTAACTAGCCCCTGTTCTAGTGCACTTCCTTCGATGAGGCATTCATGCTTGGCTGTATTGGCTGCATGTCCTCATTATATTGCCATGCCATCAAGGGAAGAGGAAAGGGACATAACACTCAGTAATCACTCTGTAAAGTTCAGCAGATAAAGAGCACTTCTGTGCTAAAAGAGGACAGCATGTGTTTGTTTGTGTGTGTGTGCGCACGTGTTTTATTGCTCCGCTCAACTCTCACTTAGTTAGAAAGGCATGCTTCAGCAAAGTCCAAACACTACTGTCCTGTAAGTGTATGCGTGTGTGTTAATAAAGTTGAAGGGTTCTCTCTCATCGTCTGGGAATCTGCTGCCCACAACCTCCCTCCACGCACACATACACATGCACGCATGCGCACACACACACACAGGTAGTTTCACTCAAGAAATTTCCAACCCACATTTTAAAATAACAGTGCATGCACTTTTTTGAGTAACATTACAACAGTAAAAGCCTTAATTTTCTGAGCTTAACATTAAGGTGAGCTTTAGGTGTAGCATTACTTAGCTACAATAATAGTACAGAACTCTATGAAAGTACTGACTAGTATAGTAACACCAACAAATGTGTGTTTACGTGAGATATTTATCCTGGCTCCTGGCACTCTCTTTTGGGCAGCAGCCTGGCTTAGGTAAGCTAGTTTTACTAAAACATGACTGGACAGCATCTATTTTCATTGAACTTTAACCAAAAACACACACAGCTTAGACCACAACTACTGAATTACTACTCCTCTGAGCTACTAACATACTCTCTCTCTGGGATAGGACTGCTTTGAGGTTGGGTAGGAGGGGTGGGGGGAGATGGAGAGAGAGAGAGATGGAGAAAGAGAGAGAGATGATACTTGACCATGTCTGTGACCCCCAGCCTCCCGACATCAAAATGGCTACAGCAACAGATGGTCTCTTATACACACACACACAGCAGCTGTTTTTTGCACCCTGTCACTGGCCCCAGTGTTTAAACTGTGCTGCTCTAGGGAAGATTATTTAGCATGTGAATGTGCATGTGTAAGTGATAGAGTGTTAGGGCTGGGCAAAATGATGATTTTTATCATTAGTATGATAAATTATGACAATTATAACACACCACGTTCCTGAACCTATTCCTCATTGTAAGTACTTCTAGATCATGGAACAACTGCATGTTTCATTATATGAAGAGGATAATTAATTTAAACCTGCATTTTTTCTGTATTGTGACATGCATTGTCAAAATTTCTTGCAGAATCATGATTTTTTCCCCCCATATCACCCAACCCTTGGGAGTGTGTATGGGAGAGTACTGTTTCCCTCAAAACTGTCTTCCCTCAAGCTATTCTTTTCTTATTTTTCCTCAATCAGTAGCCACTTCATTAAGTATACCTCCCTGTATCTAGATTCTTTGTTTTTTTTTCCCCTCAGTTCCGCTTACCACATAGGTGCCCTCTGCAGTTCTACAATTACACACTGTAGTCCATCTGTTTCTTTGCATAAACCCCGTTCTTCAATGGTCAGGACCCCCACAGGCCCACCAAAGAGCAGGTATTATTTGGATGGTGGATCATTCTCAGCACTGAAGCGACATTGACGTGATGGTGAAGTGTTGGTGTGTGTTGCATTGGTATGAGTGGTTCAGACACAGCACTGCTTAAGTTTTAAATGCTGTGTTCACTCATTGTCCACTCAATTACACACACCCACCTTGTTGGTCCACTTTGTAGATGTAAAGTCAGAGCCAACAGCTCATACGCTTGTGTTACCGTAATACCATTTGTGTTCGTAATCCTGTAGTCCTTCATTAGCAGTCACAGTACACTGACCACTCAACACTGTTGGCTGGATATTTTTGGTTGGTGGACATTGTAAAAGGGGGCAAATAAAGTATACATAGAAAAAGATGGACTACAGTCTGTAATTATAGAACTACAAAAGTGCACCTGTATGGTAAGTGGAGGTGATAAAGTAGACAAAAGAGTGTAGATACAAGGGCTACACTTAATGAAATGGCCGGTTGGTGTATGTGCTTTCCTCAATTATTACGCTACATGATATTAGCCCTAATTTTGCAGTAACAGAAAAGTATTTTGAGATCTGCAATAAATCCCTCTGGTGTGGCAACAAAATGTTGGCACACCCATGATAACTGCTCATGCAACGGTTCAGCATTGCGATTATCCAGTGTGCTCTCTCAAACAGATGCTCTGATATCTTCAAACACATTTGAAATTCTCAGCAACGAATCTTTAAGTATGACCTACTCTTCAACAAGTAGTGTGAGAAAACTCTCCAGAAGCAAGCAACCAAAACAATAACAAACATGGTGAAGGGGTTGTTGGAAAAAAATCTGCGAACATTGACTGACGCTGCTGCTCTCCACCACTTCGGAATGAATATTCATGTTGGGACCCAGGAAAGTCCAAACAAAATGCATGTGCTGGTTTTCTTGACCAAAATAAAGGCTTGGAGCTTAAATTATAGAAAAAATGGAATTTAAACATAAACTTAATTGGATACTTTCCTCAAATCATTCAGCTCCAGTGCTCTTATCTGCAAAGGGTCAGTGTGGCTGCAGATCTTCATTCCATACATACAATAGTGTCAGGCTGTATTACAGTGTACCGTATTGCATCGTACTGTGTCATTGTACCATGACTAACAACTAGTCATGAGTAGCGACCAATGAAAGCATGCGAAAACTTCCCAGGAATGAGGCACGAGCAACCAAAACAATAAAAAATACGGTGAACAGCATATTAGCTTGTGGCCAGTGTGTTAGCTTGATGTTAACATATTAGCTTATGGCGACAGCATTAAGGCCTATTCACAACAAGTATGACTCTTTAGGATGATTTTGTTGTAGTGGAAGCTCTATACCAAGTTTCTTTTTTCAAACACTCTGGCAATGGGGGAGAAGAAGAAAGAAGGACTCCTTGAGCACTAGCGACAATTAATTTATTACACCTTTTAAGTACTACAACTAAAAGGTGCACACGCTGGGAACAAACATTGTACAAAAAAGGACTAGACATGAACAGACTAGGATACAACAAGATAAACAGTTGCTAAATTGTACTAAGATATTCACCATCCTTTAAGCTATGGTCTGCCATGTATATTCTTTAATGTACGCATTTTTATAGTCAGCATGTGGCTTGCTATACAAGCTTTTGCAAGCAAGATGAGCAGTTCTGCCAAGGATGGCGCTACAACTTGCCTAGATTTTGCTATGTTCAAAATAGAATTTCTTGTAATAATATTCAATAAAGTGTATATAATATTCAATAAAGTGTATGTAATATACAGCTTGATGTATTGTTTTATTGTCTATGTTTCACTACTGTGTAAACATTACACATTTGTGTATTCAGTATATTTTTAACAATTCCAAATCGTACCAAAATATTTTGACCGAATAGATCAATGGCGAAATTGCGTGGTGCACTGAATCATTTCCTACAGAACTGTAAAATGAACTGAATTCTTGTGTGAGTTAGCAAGTGTGTCTTCATGCTCACCATCGCTCCTCCTCTACTTGAATTCCCACTGACTGAAACTTGCCGTGTTCTTCTGACCCAGCCGTGTCCTCGGGACCATCCACCTGAACCCGCATACACACACACACAGTTAACATCAGTATTTAAGTATTTCCCCTCAATCCTTTCACATGTCCTAAGTGCATAAGAAACAGCATTGCACAATGTATTGAAAATTTAGTGCGTTTTCAACATTACAATGTAGCAAACAATTGAACACTAATTGTTAAAAGTTTAAATCCAGGGTTTGTTTTAATTAATTACTTGGATTTTGTATAACTACTAATTGCAAACAGTTGTTATAGCAATGGAAGGATTAGACTTTGTTCAAGATGCATGTTCATGGATTGCACACTCTCAGCATGCTGGCATTGCTACTCTAAAAAAAATGTCAGGTTGAACCTGGTTTTTACATCTAATTCACATGTCAAGAATCATTACTTAAACATCAGTTTTTACATAGGACCACTGTAAAATTCGAAGGAAGGCGTAGGACTATTTTATAACTGAGGCCCCAAGAGTTTAATTTATGTAGCCTGTTTCATAGACAGACTGAAATCAATGCATGCGAGTCACTAGGTATTCAAGAGTTCAAGTGTGTTATTGTAACTTTTATCCAAGCAGTACTAAACACTTGATCCTTTCCAGGTGTATGCAGAATGTCAAGTTTACTTCTGTTCAAACCTGTATGCCTATAGACAGACATTTCCTCAGCGCATCTCTCTTGCCATCCTGAGATATGTGGGTGACGTTAGTGGTGGTTGCTGTGGTGATGGTGATGGTACTGTTAGTCACATGCTGGCTGGCAGGTCCGTGGACTTGGGCATTAGCTGCTTCGATGGCTGCTGTCAGAGCCTTCATGCTATCAATACTCTCTGTGGAGTTGCTGAGGCCGGACTGTGCCGTGGCCAGGGCACGGTTTGCCGGGCTGCCACTCAGCTCACTGTAGGCATCCTGTGCTGACTCTGTGCTGCTCTGAGCTGTGATGGAAATGTATGGCCGGGTGGGTGTCGATCTTGGTGGGACTGGGGGCGGGGTCTTCTTGTAGGTGGTGATGCATGATGATACTGCAGGAAGAAAGATCAGAAAAAAAAGTTACTACTGAGATGCACCTGGTCAAGCAAACATATAGGCTGTGTTCAAATTGGTCCCCTAATTACAATTCCCTACATTGGACTATAAGCACTACATTGAACAGTACTCTTGCAGTGATTTTGTACACGTTAAATACATTTTGGTCACTACTCTTCAACAGTAGCTGCATCCCTCTGCATAAGCACACAAAACATCATATCACATTTTCCTCCCGTGAATTTTGATATTTGTCCGTAACTCTTCAAACCAAACAACACCTTATGGCCATTCTGTTCCAGCTATGGTATTTCATTTGTACACTTTCACAGAAGTGTTTTGATGTCATTTAGGCACCATACTAAGCATCTCTGCTTGATAGCTGATGATATGTTACTAGTCTTGGTTTGAATTTAATATGCTATGTAGTTGTACACACAGTAGAGCAGTACAGAACACTGTAGAGCAGAATGCAATCCAGTATATTAGTGTTGCGTACAATACAGAACAACAGATTAGTGTAATGTTTCATGATATACTTTAGAGCACAATACAGCTGTATAGTGTAGTGCAGGTTCATTAAACAATAAAACAAAACAGATTAGAGTAGTACAGATGATACAGAATAGGAGAAAAACCTAGAACAGAATATTGAATATTGAGAGAGTATGAAGCAAAAAAGAATGAAGAACAGATTACAGAGGAACAATGTAGGAGAGAATTCTCCTCATAATCAACTACATTACTAAGATTGTTGCAAAGACACCACAGAGGCTGTTTAAACTGTATGGCAGAAGATCAAATATACGATAGATATAACTGATAAGGTAGAAAAAAAGCACAGCAGTCCACAATGAGTCTATTGTAAACGGAAACTAAAACTGGGCCAAGGCAGCCATCGCCTGTCTAGCTGGCTGTAATCCAGCCTCGGAACTAAACTGCTGAAGACAGTAAGGACACATACAGGAACGCAGTGATATAAAACTTTGGGGCCAGTGCTGATAACCAATAACTTCACACTATATTCCATACATGAAGTGCAGCGGGCAAAAGATTAAGTAATTTTAAATGACATGACAATTTTTAGAAAATGTAGACTAGTTTATGTATGTAATATACTACATTATTAGAATGACTTATAATATTACAATACATAGAATGACTTATAATATTTACCAAATTCCAGCAATGTCTGAAGGTTGCAGATGTAAGCATGAGTGTGTGGGATGCACAAATGAGACAAATTACCTGAAAAATTCGGACTGCTTTTGTCAATCCCAGAGAAGCCGCCCTGTGTTTACATATATGCAGCTTTTATCTTGTTAGGGTTTGGGTTAGAAAGCAAAAATGACCCAATATTGATCTAGCTATCTGTTGTCCAGTTCTGTCTCTACTGTTCAGCAGAATGTATGAATATATGTAGTACTGTGTAAAAGTCTTTAGCACATAAGCACATTATTATAATCTTTATAATATATACAAATAAATATAAAGACAGCTAAAAGTACTTTAAAGTGTTTTTAACAGGCAGTTGATATCTTGTGAGTTACTCTGAAGAACAAAATGTGGTTCCAGATTTCTCTTCAATGTTCCCAGTCATAACATATATTTGTTAAATTCAATTACCAGCATATTTGACTAAACTTAATGAAGCACTGTTTAACCAACATAGTATGCTGGGCCTCCTTGAGGAGAGGCTTGAAAATGGTTATTTTACATAAATCACTACTTACTGTATTAATGTCATTTGTATTTATTCCTGAGCAAATAAACATTTCCTGCCCAGATAAATAACTTTTTACACAGAATTTCCCCAGCAGAGTATTACATATACACACTATGCCCTGATATATATACCTCTTTATTAAGTATACATTGTTTCTACACCCATTGGCCATTATATCAACTCCACTTACCGTACAGGAGCACTTTGTAGTTCTACAATTACAGACTGTAGTCCATCAGTTTCTCTGCATTCTTTGTTAACCCCCTTTTACCCCGTTTCTTCAATGGTCAGACCCCCCAAAGGACCACCACATAACAGATGTTGTTTGGGTGGTGAATCATTCTTAGCACTGCAGTGACACGAACATGGTGATGGTGTGTTAGTTAGTGTGTTGCACTGGTACGAAAGGATCAGACACAGCAGTGTTGCTGGAGTTTTGAAAGACAAGTGTCACTGCTGGACTGAGAATAGTCCACCTAACAAAAATATCCAGCCAACAGCGTCCTGTGGGCAACGTCCTGTGACCAACGTCATATGACCACTGATGAAGGACAAAAGGATGACTAACGCAAACTGTGCAGCAACAGATGAGCTACTGTTTCTGGAATCTACAGGGTGGACAAACAAGGTAGACTTATCTAATAGAATGGACAGTGACATGGTGTTTAAAAACTCCAATGTAGATAAAAAGAATGAAAAGATAAAAAGTCAGTGTATACCAATTTTTAACTGTATTCCCCAATACTTATGCCAACATCAGACAAAAAATAATACTTAAATTTTTTAGCAAATACCATATCAGCTACCGATATGTTGAGTGCCTCTGGACAAGCTGAAAAGTTGTTAGAAAAAAAAGCAAAAGTTGTGTAAGGGAATGCATAGAAGAGTTGAATCTCAGTAGAGGGGAAAAAACTCCTAACAGAAGCCAAAAGCACATCTCTCCACTTCTGCTCTGTGCTCTTCCTGCCTGTGTGTCTCAGAATAGCACAGCTGTCAGAGAAGACTAAACACGCGGTGTCCATGTGTGTGGCAGTGTGTGTGTCTGTGAGGGAGGGAGGGAGGGAGGGGGAGAGAGAGAGAGAGAGAGAGAGAGAGAGAGAGAGAGAGAGAGTGTAAACAGTGGTTGTACATTTTCTTACAGCTTCCTCATTTCCTACTGCTGGCAGGAGCAGGTTAGTACAGGCACACACACACACGAACATCAGAGAACATGAAGGGTAGAGTGACATTTCTTTTTCTTCCTGACACTCTGTGTTAGAGGTCTGCTACCCAACCTGCTAATATCAATCAATATTAGGCTAACCAAAATATCAGGTTTCAGGCATTATAGTCTGTATCACTACACTATAGTCTAAAGCTGTGTTTGGAGTTTGAGGACTGGGTGAACATGCCCTTGAACGAAACCTGGGATGAGGCTCAACAATACATCAGTTCCATTCACACCAAGAATAATGTTTCTCCTTGCTTGTTAGGCCCATCCGAAGAGTGTTAAGCAATTCCGCAAGTAGCAGCTCTAATAAGAAGAACTTTAGCGCACCGGGACTTAAAGTTGATCAGAAGAGGGTGGATACTGTTCTCTACTAGGCGTGACTGGCAATGCCACAAAAATATAAGGATAAATACTGTAAAGCTGGCAGTATACTTCAAACGATGAAAGACAAACAAGAACTTACTACTCAACATGCTGTTGTAAACTTAAAGAGAGCTCTCAACATCGCAACAGGCCTGCTTCATGCAGTGGAGCAATCGCAGTCAGCGGGAGGTCTCAGAGCGAATAACGTGGTGATCAGAAGTTATGTTCAGTAAGACGTGCACACTTCAGTGAACAAACTTAAACCATGGCATTGTTTTGCCCAAAAGGACATTGGTTTGATTTAAAACCAGCATAGGTGTATTACAGATGTGTAAAATACCAGTTTGTTCCAGATTAACATTTTCTGTTCATGAACTCTCATGCTTAGGAACAAAGCAAAACACTATAAACAGTGTCCTTGCTCATTCAACTTCGTTTTTGCGTGCAAGCGGGTTCAGATTTCAAATTTAGCAGTATCAGTCAGGGAAAAGTTAGGTTGGGTTTCAAAGTCGTGGGTACCAGTCAGGTTTGGGTTTCAAATTTAGCAGCACCATTAGGAATGGGTTGGTTTGGGTCTTAAAATCACAAGTATGGATTGCGTTTGGGTTTCAACTTCATGCCCATGCAGACCTCTTGTTTGTGTGTCTGTGACTGTGCTTCTATAAAGTAGGCCAGGCCCTTTTCTCCACAAAGCCTCTATTACACTACCATGCAAAACAATCTTGGCCATGTGAGTGTGTTTATATGTTTGTGGATGTGAATGTGTGTGTGTACGCTTCATTTCACCTCTATGCTTGACTGTGGAATTCATTATAAATGTAGTTACACCTTAACCTTAAGTATTGACTGATAGTTTAGAATCCACACTTTCACTTGTTTCAGTGAGCTAGGAGTGAGAAACTATTAATATTGAATTACATCACCCTTTTGTTATCACTGGCAACATTTGCAACTTCTAAGTGTTAATAATATCAAGAAAATAAATTTGAAGCCTTGATGACTTTATCTGAGCGTGATATTTTATACAGTTGAGATATATTTATAAGGCCTTGGGACAAATGACAATGGCTGTTCCAGACACATGTATACACAAGCAGCTCAGGTTTAGAAGGTTGTCTGGCTGCAGGAGAACAAAAAGGAAGCCTGTTGTCAAGACAATGTCAAAGGCTTTTCAAAAGGTTGTAGCTCACACACACTCACAGTTCTGGCTGTACCCTTTTAAGCAACTAAAATAGAAAATAATCTGTAACACCAGATATGTACTTTTGTACTTCCTTGTTACAAGGACTCACATTTTATTACAATGTCAGGACATGGAGTCAGTGTCCTATATATATATAAAAATATCCATATTTACTCAGAATTTAAGCCTAACTCTAAACTTTTGCAAATTAAGGCAGGGCCATTTTGTTGGTGCTGCAGGTTAACCCTATTTTTCTTTACTTTTCCTGTAATGTCATGCCACTTTTGTCCTAAAAAAGCACAATGTCTCTCTCTCTCTCACATAACAGTTGGCCAATGATCAGCATGCCCAGAGGTAATAAGAGGCAATACATGTGCTTCATTGCTGTCTCGTTAGGCTGAAAGCAGGATCTCTGCACTGAAGGGCTAAAACAAGGAATGAAGAAAAAAGAAAGAAAGGAAAGGAGGAGGAGAGTGGACGAGGGAGGGCTTTGATTGAGCTTGGGGGGAGGGAG